AAAGGGTAGAATCAGACCACATGCCTCTAGAAATAAAAATCAAAGAAAAAGAGCAAGAGTAAGAAAAACAAGAGAGAAGACACGAAAGAAAAGAATTAGAAAAAAGAATATGGGATGAAGAGGAAATTCAAAGATACAGAAGTAGACTAGAAAAAAAGAAATTCGAAGTAAAAGAAGATATAGAAGCTATGATGGTAGAACTGAGCAACCTAATTGTAGAAGCTACGGAAAAAAGAAAGATATACATATGGCAAGGGAGGGATAATAGATGGAACGGAGAATGTAGTGAGTTGAAGAGAAAAGCAAGGGAAAAATTAAGAAAATGGAAGAATAACAAGGGAAGGAAAGAAGAGTACCTAAAAGCAAGAGAGAATTATAGGAGAAAATGGAAAGAAAGAAAAAGAGAAAAACGAGAAGAAGAAGAGAAGACAATAAAGTCCCTGAAAACAGAAGAGCAAGTATGGAGATACATAAACAAGGAACGGAGAAGGAAGACTGAAATCAGCGGGAAAATCAAAATACATGAATGGAAAACACACTTTATGGAATTATTGGGAGGTTGTGAGGAAAAATGCTGCAAAACAAATAAAGGAATCACAACGACGAAAGAAATGTGGAGAGGTGCGGAAATAACAAAAGATGAAATAGAAAGACAGATTGGAAGACTGAAAAGAGAAAGGCACCAGGAGGGGATGGAATCCAGAACGAAGCGTGGATGTTCGGGACAGAAGAAGTGAAAGAAAAGATATGGGAAGTGGTAAATTGAGTTTGGAAGGAAAAAGGGTTTCCTCGGCAGTGGAGAGAAGGTATAATAATCCCATTATTTAAAAAGGGGCAAAAAAGCGATGTGAAGAACTACCGAGAGATTACCTTGCTCAATACGGCGTACAATATATATGCAACGATACTCGATGAAAAGTTACGAAAGGAGATGGAAGCAAGCGGTATGTTACCAGACGGTCAGGCAGGGTTTAGGAAAGGAAGAGGTACTATGGACAATGTGTACATCCTGCGGCATTTAGTGGGAAGAGAAATAAGGAAAGAGGGTGGACGAATGTACGCATTGTTCATAGATTTCAAAGCAGCGTTTGATAGCGTGAATAGAGAGAAAATGTAGGAGTATTTGAGGAGAAAGGGAGTAGATGGATACTTGGTAACCAAAATGGAAGAAATATATGAAGAAACAGTAAATACGGTGAGAGTGAATGGAATAGAGAGTGAGAGTTTTTATACAAATAGAGAAGTGAGACAAGGATGCCCACTCAGCCCTGCATTGTTTGCAGCTTATCTAGGAGATATAGATGAAATGTTCAGAAAAGCACAGACAGGAGGGGTGGTAGTCGGCAAAGAGAAAGTGTGGTCGTTGGCGTACGCAGATGATTTGGTGATTGTGGCAAAGAAAAGAGAAGAAATGAAAGCAGTAATTAAAAGTTTGGAGAAGTATGTAAAAAAAAGGAATTGGAAGTGAATGTGGAAAAAACAAAAATGGTGGTGTTTGGGAAGAAAGTAAGAAAGGAGAAGAAAGAGTGGGCATGGAGAGGGAAGAAGATTGAACAGGTGAAAGAATTCCAGTACTTAGGATATACATTAAAGAGCAATAACTCAGATAGAGCGCATATTCAAGAAATGGTCCAAAAAGCGAACAAAGTGGTAGGAATAGTATGGGGAATAGGAGAGAGAAAATTTGGACATGATTATAAGAGATGAATAATGATGTTTGATAGTTTGATCAAAAGTGTATTCATGTACGGAGCTGAGATTTGGGGATGGAGGGAATATGAAGAAATAGAGAGAGTGCAAGAAACATACTTGAAATGGACATTGGGATTGGAAAAGTATACCGCGGGGTATATAGTGAGAGAAGAAACAAAAAGGGAGAAAATGAGAGTGAAAGCGGGTAAAAGGGCGGTTGGATTTGAAGAGAAGTTCAGTGAGAGAGGTGATTGCAAGATATTGCAAGAATGTTGGAAAGAAATAAGAAAGGAAGGGGGAAAACATGTTTGGAACGAAAGGGACAAGTATTATGAAGGAAAAGGATATGCATGTGAAGAAATGGAGAGAATGAGAGAAATGGGAAGGAGTATGAAAGAGGAGCTGAGTGTAAGAGATAAGGATATAGATAAGCAAGAACGTAGATCGAGAATATCGGAGTCTAGATATAATGCAGACTATAGAAAAATAGTAAAGGATGAAGTACCAAAGTACACACACAGAGAGAGTATAAAGGAGAAAAGAATGATGGCGAGATTTAGGTGTGGAAATGAAGAGAAAGAGAATAATTTTTGGATGGATGAAACTGACAGAAGGTGTAGGATATGGAAGAAGTGCTAAACGAGGATGGAAGAGGACTGGACTGGATGAAAGAAGTATGGAAGATAAGAGAACTATGGCAAGGGGTGGGCAAGCAGAAAGAATATAATATTTAATATATAACACTCGAATTTTTATTTTATTTTATTTTATTTATTTTTATTGTTATGGATTTATCTGAGGTAGGGGTACAAATCAACTTAAGATTAAGTGAATTTGTACCCCTACTGGGAATATTATTAAACCTGTAAGGCAAATAATAAATTAATACTACTACAACCTACGAGTTAGTAAGCTGTACAAATCCTCCAGAAAGAATTGGACGCTATCACGCTGCGGACCTCAGCCCGTTTGTTGAAGGGACTAGAAGTGATATATTAACGCCTTTAATACCAAAACGGAGGAGGGGTCGCCCTAAAAAGAATGTTTCATCCTAAACAACATCGGAGGGCCGTTTGTGTTGTTTAGAGGGGGAGTTTCTAACGGAACTTTGTTTTGATTAAAAAAGAAGAGTGGGCTGATTAGAAAAAGGGTTGACAGATAAAAAATAGTATCTGAATGTTTAATTTTGTTGATGTTTTGTACATTTAAATAAATGAATCATATTATATGGTTCAAATAAACAATATTTATGTGAGCTCTATGGCTGGAGATTTAGTCCCGCATGTAAAAGACCAGCTGCTGCAGGTGCCGCACCCTTCGAGTCCCAGGAAGTATTTGGTAAGCTACCATATTGTCCTACTTCTGAGCATTCAATCCAGATTCGATGAAAAAAGGTGCAATGACATGATGTCCTAGAAGCCCCAGTCAGACACCGACAGTTGCACCTCAATCAGCCTAGATTCTCTCAACCGTTCCTTCGTGAAACTTCATACGTGAGAAGTAGTCCTCAGGCTTCAATTTTTTGTCATGATGCTTTTTGAAACTCTTCTATCCCATCTGTTTAAGATCCCTAGAAAACGTCGTGCCCACCTCATTTTATTTACTTTTTATCACCTTTGAAAATAAATGTAATTTTGTTTTGTGAAATATTTTTATTTTTGTTGTTGTTAACACAATAAAGAAATAAAACAATAATACAAAAGTTTCTGAATCCCAAAACCCATTCGTAATAGAGAAAAATGTTTTAAAATGTTATTAAGTCAAACAATGTTCTACATTTCTCTCTCTCAAAAATTTCTTGTAACGAACATGCTTCCAGGCGGCAAAAATGGCATCCCTGCTTAACGAATGTAAAATCAATTGACTTCCAATCTTTAGTGATTCGAAAAAAAAATGTGAAATTTACCCAAATTACCTATTAATTAAATTAACCGTTGAAGAACAAGCAGGCCCTCGCTTTTTCATCTAATCGCAGTAGAACATAGCATAACCTAATAAAATATTTTGTGCAGTTTGTGCATTTATTCCGTTTAAATTGACCTACAATAATAATCGTCATGTTCGATTAAATAATTCAATTTGAGTCGTTCATTGATTACTGAGTGAGGCAGCGCGAGTACATTCCTAGCTTGACGGACTCCCAGGACATGTCACAATGCCGATGGGGTTTTGAGGAAGACCAGCTGCTCGAAGTCTTCATCTCGGGCTTTTTGGATACGGCTTGAATGTAGTTCGAGATGGTTCGTTTTACTGGATAAAATAATTCAGTTTGACTTGTTCGTTGATTTCTGATGAGAATAATTTCTAATTTCACTTTGACATTTGAATTTCGCATGGGTAATGAAAAGACGCGATCGCCGAACTTCGACAGTACGACGGAACACTTCGCGACAATTCGGATCGGGCGCGAATTTCAAAATACGATTTTTAAAACCTTTTCACAGTGAATGAGCGCTATGCAACGATTTGAAAAAAATACTGGCCGATAGCTCTCTTCGACCTCCACAAAGGCATCACTCAATAATAGATTTAAAGTGATCTGGGGAGATATTATAAAATAAAAAGTAATTCCCATGTTAATTCCCTATATCCAGACTTGGATGCGGCACCCTGTATATATTCCACCTTTTATGTCTTCCATGAAATGACGACCGTTTTACTTTCTAATGTGCGTTTTTGATTAGAGTAACTAAATTACTTAACTTAAGTAACAATTCTGTCATCTTCTTCGAAACGAGTTTTTGCGTTAGTTACTCTAGTTAAAATAATACAATCTCCAATATATAGGGTTGCAAGGAAGTATGAAAACAGCTGAATATGATGAGAACAGTTAGTTGGACCTTCTTGAATTTTGGGCTATAGTTAAAAATACTCAAGCTCTATTTTCTGTATTTTTTTAATAGCACCACTAAACAAATCGTCAATTTTTGAATTGAAGATTTTTTTCTAAAATTTAAAACTGTAACACATGTATATATCTTTTTAACTAGAGCGGCAAATAAAATGATATATTATTTATTATGCATAAATTCTACAATAGAAAATTATAGTTAGCTTGGAAAATACTGTCATCGATCTGTTTGTTTGGAAAAATAAAACACATTTCTAAATTAAGAAAAAATGCACTATTTAAAAACGGAACATTTGATTACTAGTGACATTAAAAATAAATAGCATCTCAAAAACAAATTAACTATAAAATTGAAAAAACCGCAGAAAATAGAACTTGAGTAATATTCCTAGGGACAGCACATACTTTTTAGCGACTCTCTTGTGTTCCCTTTTTCTTGACTCTACTCCTGTATTAGGTGCGGAGGATTTCCATGTCCACTAGCACGGACGAAATCACCGGAAAACCAAAAATGTGGCTTCTCCAAAGGAATTGTTCGGAGATTTGCGAACCCGGGTGCATAATCATCGGTGAAAGAACAAAGTTACATTCCTGCATCACGTGTTGCGACGAAAAAAATTTCTGTAATGCTGGAAGTGGAGCCGAAAGTTTCACATCGTTTCAAAGAACTTTTTCTATTGTGACTTTTATTGTTCTACAATACAGTCTTAATATAGTCGACCGTTCATGACATTCTTTGAACAGTTAACGATAAGACGGTTATTAAGTTTCTCAAATTTATACAAACTTGTTTTGCCAACATTGTAAGTGTTTGCAGAGTAAAGGAGTTTTAACTCGCACAAATTCGTAGTAATGCCAGTCCTAGGTGGAAATTGATTTAATTAATTATCCAAGTTATGGCAGCAAGTTTACGTTCTGACGGCTTAAACTTGCATGTCGATGAGTGAGCAACAGCAGGGGAAGCAAATCTAAAGCCGACTTATGCCCTAAGAAATTTAGCAAAGCAGCATTGCGTACCATTTATTCGGGTTGCTGCTATTTACGACGAAATCTCAACTGAATTATACTATACTTTCCACAATTATAATTAAATACTTTGAATAGAAAAATGCAAATAAAACGAAAGCACAAAAAATGCAATAATAATTGTATGTGTTTCAATTTTGTTTAAAATTTAAGTTGTTAACCTTATAGAGAAAACAGAACTACCGTAATTGGAAATCTAGCAAAACGTGAACAAGTTATGTAAGTTTAACACAACTGAAAATATATGTATGTACCTAATAATAAATAAATGCCGAAACGTTGGCCTTAAAAAGAGTAAATGTCATTTACTCCTTGCGTCCAAGAAAGTTGCCCCTTTTCGTGATAACGGGAAAATGTAATTAAATTTCTCATTCATCTTCTCCAAAAAAAAAAATGTTATCAAATAATAATGTTGTTGTTAATGCTGTTATAAACAGTGTTTTCATTATTTTTTTACCTCCCGAGCGTACTGTAGTCGAGTTCATCGGGCAACTTCTCATTTTTATGTTTTCTTGATCTTTCATGACCCCTAGACTACAAAGAAATAGGTCCCCGTTTCCGTCTGTCTGTCTGTCTATTTGTCTGTTTGTGTCTGTCTGCCGTCTATCCGAATTTTTATTAGACAGATAATCTCCGAAAATACTGGACCGATTGTTGTCAAATTTTGAATATTTCATAAAACGCTAGAATTCCCAAAATCAAATCTTATTAATTTCTCGAAAAATCTGGATTTACTTGCCTGCTTCCACCAATTTTTTGGTGTCACTTTTTTCGTGTTTCCTTTTTCTTCGATGTTACAATTTTTCTTTTTTCAGTTTTAATTTTTTCAATTTTGCAATTTTCGATTTTACAATTCTTTGATTTACAATTTGTCGAGTCTTCGTTTCATCAATTTTTCAAGTTCTTCAAACTTCAATTTGCAAATTTTTGACGTTACAATTTTTCATTTTTTCGATTTTTCAGTTTCTTAATTTTTAATTTTTCAGTTGTACAAATTCTTGATTTTATTTTTCATTTTCTCGATTTTATTCGATAATTTTCGTTTTTTAGTTGCTTTATTTCTTTAATGTTCTTTAGATTTTATAATTTCTGGTTTATTCAATTTTTCAAATTCTCAGTCTTTGATTTTTCAATTCCTCGATTTTGCAATTTCTATATTTTTCAATTAACCAGTTTTCCAATTTCTTTAATTTTCAATATTTCGAGATTAGAATATTTCGTTTTTTCACTTTTGCTCTTTTTCGATTTTTAAGTTTCCCAATTTTTCGGTTCTTCGATTTTCATGTTCTTGATTTCCAATTTTTAGGTTTTTCAAAGTTTTCATTTTATAATTTTTCGTTTTCTCTTTTCTGATGTTTCAATTTTACAATTTTTCCATTTTTTGATTCGAAAGTTGAAAAATCGAAAACTTAAAAATCGAAAAACTAAATAATTGGAAAAAAATGAAAAACTGAAAGACGAAAAATTGGAAACTGCAAATCGAAGAAGCAATAAATAAATGAAAAACTGAAACAGAACAACTAAAAACCAGAAACTCAAAAATCGAAAAACGGGAAACCGCAAAATCAAATCTTATAATTTCTCGAAAAATCAGGATTTACTTACCTGCTTCCACCAATTTTTTTGTGTCAATTTTTACGTGTTTCCGTTTTCTTCGATGTTACAATTTTTTATATCACAATTTTTATTTTTTCAGTTTTAATTTTTAAAATTTTGCAACATCTAAATTTTTCAATTTTTCGTTTTTTTTTGGTGCTTCGGTTTAAAATTTTTCCATTTTGCAATTTTTCGATTTACAATTTGTCGAGTCATCGTTTTTTCAATTTTTCAAGTTCTTGAATTTTATTTTTCAGTTTCTCACTTTTACATTTTTTTATTTTTCAATTTTTCATTTCTTCAGTTATTCAATTTGCAAATTTTTGATGTTACAATTTTTCATTTTTTCGATTTTTCAGTTTCTCAGTTTTTAATTTTTCAATTGTACAAATTCTTGATTGTATTTTTCATTTTCTCGATATTATTCCATAATTTTTGGTTTTTTAGTTGCTATATTTTTTTAATGTTCTTTCGATTTTATAAATTTTGGTTTATTCAATTTTTCAAATTCGCAGTCTTTGATTTTTCAATTCCGCGATTTTCCAATTTTTCAATTTTGCAATTTTTGTATTTTCCAATTAACCAGTTTTCCAATTTCTTTAATTTTCAATATTTCGACTTTGGAATGTTTCGTTTTTTCACTTTTGCTCTTTTTCGATTTTCATGTTTTTGATTCCCAATTTTTATGTTTTTCAAAGTTTTCATTTTATAATTTTTCGTTTTCTCATTTTTGATATTTCAATTTTACAAGTTTTTCATTTTTTGATTGGAAAAGTTGAAAAACTGCAAATCGAAGAACCAAAGAAATGAAAAACTGGAACAGAAAAACTAAAAATTGAAGTAGCCACAAATTGCGAACACTAGAATTGCAAATCAAAAATTAAAGAAACGAAAAATTGAAAACTAGAGAAATTTAAAAATCTAAAATTTAAAAAACACAAATTTTATTTTTCGGTTCTTCGATTTTCATGCTCCTGATTTCCAGTTTTTAAGTTTTTCAAAGTTTTCACTTTATAATTCAATTTTATAATTATTTCATTTTTTGATTCGAAAAGTTGAAAAATCGAAAACTTAAAAATCAAAAAACTAAATAATTGGAAAAAATGAAAATCTTAAAGACAAAAAATTGTAAAATCGAAAAAGTCGAAAATTGGAAACTGCAAATCGAAGAAGCAAAGAAATGAAAAACTGAAACAGAAAAACTAAAAACCAGAAACTTAAAAATCGAAAAAATTAATGACACAAAATTGGAGAGAAGAAAAAACGAAAGTGAAAAATGGGAAACCCCAAAAATTATAGAATCGTCAAAATTGTATGGAAAAACTGTAACTTGAAAGATCAAAAAACTGAAAAATTATAGCTAAAAATTGAAAAATTAAAAATCGAAAATTGGGAAAATTCTAAAATCGTTAAATTTAAAAAGTGAAGAATTTTAAAAATTATTATTGTTATTGCTTATTTAAATAAACACTAGAATTGCAAATCAAAAATTGTAGAAACAAGAAATTGAAAAATCGAGAAATTGAAAAATCTAAGATTTAAAAAACACAAATTTAATGAATCACAGAAAGAAGAAAAACCGCGAAAGTGGAAAATCGGAAAACCCAAAAATTGAACAATGGAAAAATTACAGAATCCTCAAAATTGTAAAGTCGAAAAAATTAACTTGAAAAATCGAAAAACTGAAAAATTAAGTAGCGAGAAATTAGAAAAATGAAAAATTAAAAGTCGAAAAATTGGAAAATTCTAAAATCGTAAAATTGGAAAAATGAAAAATTTTAAAAATGATTATTATTATTGCATATTTAAATGAACACTAGAATTTGCAAGTAAACAACTGAACGAAAAATTGAAAAAGCGAGAAATTTAAAAATCTAAAATTTAAAAAAATGAAGAAAATAAAAAATTGAAAATTGCGAATAGAAAGTAGAACCAAAATCAGGACATTGAAAAAAAAGAAACTAAAAATCTGAAAATTGCAAATGAAAAATTGAAGAAATAGAAAATTGTAAAATCAAAAAAGTGGAAAATCCGAAACTGCAAATCGATGAACCGAAGAAATAAAAAACTGAAACAGAAAAACTGTAAACGAGAAACTTACAAATTGAACAAATTAATGAATCACAAAACTGGAAAGAAGAAAAAATGCGAAAGCGAAAAATAAGAAAACCCAAAAATTATAAAATCGAAAATTATAGAATCGTCAAAATTGTAAAGTGAAAAAACTGTAACTTGAAAGATCGAAAAACTGAAAAGTTAAGTAGCGATAAATTGAAAAAGTAAAAATGCAAAAATTGAAAATCGAAAAATTAAAAAAGTAAGAATTTTAAAAATCATTATTATTATTGCATATTTAAATGAACACTAGAATTGCAAATCAAAAATTGAAGAAACGAAAAACCGAAAAATCTAAAATTAAAAAAAGCGAAAAATTAAAATCTCTGAAAGATGAAAAACAGAAAAATTAAAAAAATAAAGAAAACGAAAATTGAAAATTGCTAATAGAAAAAAAGGACCAAAATCAGAACACTGAAAAACCGATAAATTGAAACAAATAAAGAAAATAAAGAACTGAAAATTGCAAATCGAAAAATTGAAGCAATGAAAAATTGAAAAATCGAAAAATTGAAAAGATAAGAATTGAAATTCGTGGGACTGCAAAACTAAGAATTGAAACACCCAAAAGATGGAAAATCGATAACTAAAAAATTTTAAAATGAAAACTCGTGAAGTTACATATTCTAAATGTAAAGAACAAAAAAATGAAAAATCGAAAAACTGAAAAATTAAGCAGTGAGAAATTGTAAAATTGAAAATGGAAAAATTCTAAAATCGTAAAATTGAAAAAATGAAAAATTTTAAAAATGATTATTATTATTATTGCATATTTAAATGAACGCTAGATCTGCAAGTCAACAAATGATGAAACGAAAAATAGAAAAATCGAGAAACTTAGAAATCTAAAATTTAAAAAGCGGAAAATTAGGAAATCTAAATGTCGAAAAATCGAAATATTAAAAAAATTAAGAAAATAAAAAAATTGGAAATTGTAAATAGAAAAAAAGGACCAAAATCAGAAGATTGAAAACCGAAAAATTGAAAAAATAAAGAAAATAAACAATCGAAAATTGCAAATGGAAAAATTAAAGAAATGAAAAATTGTAAAAATCGAAAAAGAAAATCGGAAACTGCAAATCGAAGAACCGAAGAAATGAAAAACAGAAACAGAAGAACTAAAAATGAGAAAGTTAAAGGTCGAAAAAATGTAACTTGAAAGATCGAATAACTGAAAAGTTAAGTAACGAGAAATTGAAAAATTGAAAATCCAAAAATGGGAAAAAAATCATAAAATTAAAAAAGGGAAGAATTTTAAAAATCATTATTATTGAAAATTTGAAAAATCAAAAAACTGAAAAATCTAAAAGTTCAAAAACCCAAGAATTAAAAAAATAAAGAAATGAAATATTGCAAGAAGAAACAAAAGAACGAAAATCAGGACATTGAAAAACCGAAAAATTGAAAAAAATAAAGAAAATAAAGAACTGAAAATTGCAAATCGAAAAATGTAAGAAATGAAAAATTGCAAAATCGAAAAATTGAAAAGATAAAAATTGAAAATTCGTGAAACCTGAAAATTGAAACATCCAAATGTTGGAGAATCGATAAGTGAAAAATTTTAAAATGACAACTCGTGGAGTTACATATTCTGCAATTGAAGAAACAAAAAAAT